TCTTAAATTGTCAACGTAAATACTAAGAAAAGAAGATTGTCAATGAGTGTATTAACCATTACTGGAAACGTATGAAGCCGAAGGAGAATTTTCAGGTCATAAACACCGCACTATCAACAAATATTGGATGAGAATTTAGTAGAAGAAGGAAGAGAAAGAGACGTATTTTTGTGTCTAGTTTAGTTTCAATGTGATTTGCGACCTTACAATAAAGTTTTATAAAATTGGAAATGGAAGGATGCTGTCATTACGGTCATCGTAAATACATCGAGGTTTCTCGATTGGTTCTGGCGTCACTAGGAATTCAATTATCTTACTTGGCAATGGCCTAGAGTCTTGCTTCACTCGATGACATTCTCAATATCCAGTAAGGTTGGCAGTTTTATTTAACTCGGTAACGAGAAAATTGGCTAGATTGGAAAGTTTTGGAAGAGAGCAATGACGTGAAGGCGTCATATCTTTTGTCTCTTCCCTGTCTGGCTGATGCTACTATATAGTTTGCTGCAGGTGTTTACGACATTCCTCGATGGCCGGACAAGGCCGGCCTTATTGTCATCGTTCGAGAGTGCTTTGTCGTTTTCTATACGTCCCATTGAGATCTTGGCCAATGACAAGCTAAGTTTCATCTATGCCCGTTGGAACGGATCTTGGCAAATGCTCCTGAAATCTTTTCTGTGTTACGCGACTTTAAATGCCTTTTGTATTGCTAGAATTACGGGTTTTAGTTTCGTCTTTTCGTAATGCTTTTCGTATCCTTTAATCTTTACTATCCAAAGTGTAGACGCGATAAAGCGCCGTGAGTGTCTGTAACGTATGTCATTCGCCTCCCCTTTTTTTGTCTTTGGCCATATTCGCTGTAGTATTGCGCCATCTCTTGTCGTATTTGATAACTTTATTACTTAAATAAAATTGATAAAATTACGTTTCGATACGGAAACAATCTTTATCCATTGTCCTGATTGCCTAGAATCGGTTCCTTTTCATTAGATTGAAGCTCATTAGCTTCGTCTTCCTCCCTGTCGTCGTCATGTCTAGATGGCTGCAAATGGTCGTTTTATGGAAATCTTCCCGGCAACTGTGTTAAATTTTAGACTGAACAAGTTGCATTTGGCCTTCTGACGCCCCACAACTAAATTGCAATCTTCTGATGTAAACAACATTAAAAATACTCCTAGAGAAATTCCAAAATAACGAGATAATTTTTTTCCTAATACGTAAACAAGTAGGCTTCCAGTCAACAACATAGTCTAATCTACTCATTAAAAACATTCACTCGCATATAAAACCTAAATGAGAAGTTTCGACGCCATTTTTTATCTTCATTTTCTGCCGCTATGAGTACAATCCGCAAGAAACAATAATAATAAAAAGTGCCTATTATCCGAGAAAGTCAACTATACAGGAGGAGAGATAATCTTTCCAGATAGCTTCGTGTCATGCTACATAAACTAAGCCCTTTTCGTCGTTGTCCATCCTAAATTGGCTCCTCGGTTCTCGGGGACGGGGAACCAACGGTAGCGAAAGGAACAACAGGCACAAATCTCGTTCCATCTGATAAACAAAAGGCTACATAAACAATGGTAGAAACATTTTTCAATTGGATAATGGCTAAATTTATTATTTAACCAAGCGAAATATATTTTTTATTCTTTCGCAATTCTTGTCGGTTTGACGCTTCTCTCACCTTTTCTGCTCGGAGATATTAACAAGGCGCGGTTAAAAATTGCTGAGAATTGCGTCTTTTCGCCTTCTTGCATAATAAGTGGTATTAAGTCTTGCAGGGTCAGCAATTTATGATACATTTTTTCCTCCTTCCTCTTCTCTGTTCTTTCCTCCTTTTCCCTTTTACGTTGCGGCTTGTACTCTTTGATGGATCGAAAACGTTAATGGTGACTTCGAAGGAAAACAACAATTCCTGGAAACTTTTATGCTCTATATCTCTAGATGTAATTAAACGATGTTCAAAAGTAATATAAATTTATGACGTTTTAGTCAAATGTTATTAAAATATTGATTTGTCTCGGTAAAAAAAAAAGAAAGAGAGAAAAGAAAGATCAACCTCGACTGGTGAATTTGCAATTAATAACATTACCGATGTCTTTCGTTCGAGGGAGGGGGAAAAAGAAATAAAAGAAATATTAATCTCTCTTATCTCCGGGACATTTTGATGTACAGTTCTAAATATTATTATCGTAATTTTATTTTGTAAGTTACTCTAATTGGTTTAATTTTCTCCATATTTTTTTTTCTTTATCGTTCTACTTACGAAACGTTTACGTTTGCATGGTTGCTTTGCTTAACGAATATTATTTGTTTAGTAGTTTCTTGCGTGTGCGTAACAATGTGTGGTCGATCGGTAACTTGCGTAACAAGCTATCGAACATTTACCACAATAGCAACATTCATTCATAACTAACGTGCGTAAGAGTCTCTTGTGGATAACCACAATGACACCCTATACGCTTCACTGGCCAAAGCGTTATATCCGGAGATCAAGTCGTCCATTGCTTCGTCCTGGCAGCTTCCGTCACGTTTGGAATTTACTAGATGGTGTGCACCCTCTGGGAATGCTACTTAAACTAACCGAGCTTGGGTAACGTCACGTACCAACAGTATAACTTCTCTATAGGTTTTTATGATTATTGAGCTATTTCCTGTAATTTTTTAATCCGTAACAATTTCTTAATGCCTCTATTGTACGCGAGTAGGAGTAAAGAATGTTAATAACATCGTTACGATGTTAGATACACAAAAACAACATTCGTCACCCCGATGAAACGACGTTTAGTTACATTCAAACTTAATTAGATTATGTATAACCCTGCAAAGTAGAATGATGTTATGCAAAGAAGGACACACGAAAAGTTAAGTGATGATATCGAACGAGAAAATGATACTAAGTAATGATTATTATTATTGAGGGGAAACGATAATCGATAGAAACTAAGTACAGGATGGTTGGTAATGATGAAGTTTAGGCAATAACAAACAAAAATAAACTCTAAATAAAGTCACCAAGTAAAAGATATTATGCAAATAATGACACTAGATGAATGCCCGAAAATAGTAAACAGTGATGCGAACGAGAAAAGAATACTAAATACTAGCCAGGAAAAGACATTATATAAAATAAATTTTATATAGTTTCATGCGTAATATCTTATACACAACCCAGGGATGTTGTACAACATTATATAAGAAAAGACATTAAAACAAAGCAAGTAACGTTAAAGTTATAACGTAAAAATCACCAAACAAGTCTACTTTCGAGCGAAGATTCTGCAAAGAAAAAAAAAACCACTACTAAACAGTGATATTAAATAGGGGAATAAAAGAAACTAGGCAACAGTTACCCGTTAAGAATTACTTACAAGCGTAACGTCTAATAATGACAATACCCAGCAGCGTAACGGTTTTTTAAATCACCCATTCGTATCTATCTTTCTTTATTCATAAAGTAAATCCGGAATATACGAGAAGGGAGAAGGTAAAAAAATAAAATAAACCTCTTAGCCGATCGAGTCTTGCCTTAGTTTAAACCATAAAGAAATTATTGGAGAGAGAGAGAGAAAAATTTCCAATTATGTGGAATATACCGATGCCGGAAATCGTCCTTCGTCAAACAAATGGTAATTTGCATAGATAATAAAAACAAGGGATGAAAATTAGCAACCGCATCGATTCGACATCTTCTTCTTCTTCTCTCACACCATGCCAAGTGTTGGAGTGTCTAGACGTTGGCAGTTTGTAGTTTTTCTTCCACTCGTCCCGGGGGTAAACTTCACTAAATTAAAACTATCAAGAATTGTTTTATCAAAATTATTAAAGGGGACATAAAACTTAAAATAAGCTGTTGCATCACTAACGAGAAATTCTCTTTAAAAACATTGACGATCGGAGGATTTGCATTTTTTTTTTCGGTAATTAATCAAGTAATTTCTCGTGTGATAACATAAATTTCAGTCGACTTATCGAACCTAATTATCGAACTGTATCGGCGAATAACTACTTGACATATCTGCCTAATAGTTATAACTAAATTATAACCGTAGAACCATCAATGTTTAAACTGTAATACGAACGTCGTAATGGTATTAATGCATTTGTTAGTGGATGAAGGAGGAAAGACGATGCGAGAGTAATCTGATTTTCAGACAGAAAAATATCAAGGCAAGGTTTAAAGTTTAAACAACAGCCAAGAAAAACAAACTGCTTTAATCCCTTTGGCATTTCTTAAAGGATGGGACATCTTCTAAACTCTGGAGGACACGGAAAAAAGTCAAAACAAGATTTTTGGCTATTCGCTTGAGAGTGACCAAAGCAAAAATATCTCGTTTCTTTGCCTTTGCACAGTCTTTCTGACTTATTCTGACATTTCTTTTCTACGCTCGATTTCTTTAGCCTTTGATATATTGAATTTTTCCACCTCCTCTATTTGTTTATAGTTGATTTCCGCATTTTTTAATACACTCTCGACCAAACAGGAAGTAGATTACTTTTCATCCAGATGAAATTGAATTATTGATAACCTTTCTCTCACCCTGTCTCCTTTTTGATATTTAACAACCTTTACTCTTTGCACTTTTTTCGTAATTCGGTGAAATTAATTAGACGAGTAACACGCACGACCTACGTCTTGATATATTTATTTGGCGGAACGTGTTTAACACTACAACCAATTTATTCATTAATTATGACTAGTTGGGCATAAATTTCGATTCCCCTCTTCTATCAACTATGTCACACGACTTGACCGCACTCACATCGACCTAAATTCCAACCTATGACTCCTATCGTCATCGACGAGTCGAGCCACAAGCACATTTTAAAAAGTCACGTTTGAGGGCTGCATTTGAACACATCGTAGGAAAGAACACGTCCTTGACCCAATATACGTTTACTGGTGTTGGCATTCTTCGAGTTTACGCTATAGAATAGCTTATTCTTACACAAAAATTACTTACTTTCAACGTTCCTAACTCTTCTCCATATCTTTACAGGTATGCCGACTCGTCGACCATTGTAGAACTATGGGATAATTTAGGACTTTCGGGAGGCATCAGAGTTCTGAAGGTAAGTTATAAGCACTCACATCAGACGTCTAGCATTGTAAACGTCCGACTACCGTCTGCTTGTAGAAGCAGTGGACGGTCGCAGTTGCAACTACGCAGCCTCCTTCTCAGCTTCGACTGGATCTCTTCCCATCGATTTTCTCCTCGGACCGTCCTTGCTCGCCATGATACCGCAAAAGTCTGACGTAATAGCTATGCCGGGTGTCCAGAACACCCCCTTCCACCTGCTCTTACTATCGGCTCTTGTTTGTAAACACCGTTGTGTACTGCTTAACCTCTTCCAGCTGCTCACCTGAATGACGTTCGTTTCCATTATCTACCTGACCCACCGCGCATTGTTCGACCGAATATATAAACTTTTAACCGTTTATACACTCCACTTAAGAGACGAGAAACTCTCTTTTATCATTCATACTTGGAGGACATGAAAAATTCTCGATTATCCTTCAGCGCTTAACTCTTATTATACATGCAAATATAACCAAATGGGATTAATTTAATAAGTGAAAACGAACCAGACACGGAATTCGCGTGAATTATTTAAATTGTAATTTCGGTTTAATGTATATGCGAATATAAATTAAGAAAATCTCGTAGCATACTCCTGTAAGTTGCGGTTGCTCTTGTGGGGGTGGGGTATGCCACCAATTCGTTTCCTTCTAAAACGTCCATTTTAGAAGGACCATAAAGGCATAGAAGCACTCACAATCTTTAGGTGGCATCATTTTTTACCCTTGCTTCTCCCATACACTCTCTTTTATTGATTACACTGTCAGGTGCAACCAATTATACGATAGATAACCGGTCTTTTCCAAAGCGTCTGGAAGATCAAACACTGCTGCGAGAGGCGATATTAAATCCCTCCTTAGAGACTTTACCGTTTCGGCAGAATACGTGAACCAAATTCCTCCCTACTCTATGCCAAAACGTCCAGAAAACGTCATTCATTCTTCTACTGGAGCGTGGGAGGATTTTAACTCCCGACCTTTTATGCCATCCCGATTTATGATCTTTGACCCCGCTTAAAAGCCTTAATGCCTTTATAACTCGATTTAATGAAATGCAAGAAGTTAACTATTATAACACTCCAGGATTAACTATTAAATTTAATACCGGACTTCGGAGACGTTACATTGTTAAGGATTACGCCGTAAATTGTTGAATCTTGGATCAGCAGAGTAGCGATGATTAATAGCAAAATATTCTCCCTTAAATGATTAAGTTAATGCCATTAAAGTGATTTAAGTAGAAGTGGAAGGAGGCATTCATAAGCAACGTTCGGCATTTTACAAAAGGATTTTCATTAAATTGGATTTTGCCACCTCAGCCGGGGTGCAAAATGTGAGCCATTTTTTTTATAACCCCTCGCATAAATTGCTTGGTTATAACGTTTATATCGTCTATAATAAATCTTTTCTTAAATATAAAGAATCTTTTTTTTTTTAAACTCGGTAATTACAAGTCTCGGTTTACATAAATAACCCTCGACGCCTCTCGAATATAATTATTAAGAGTACTTTGCAGCAGTTCTGTACGTGAAAGGAGTGCAATCCGAGACACCTAACTATACAAAAAATAATTGTTAAACATCAAAAAATGTAATTCGTAGGAGTAAAACAATGAGAAATTCGCTTAATGAGCTCGGTCCGATAGCTTTTCTGATACGTTTCTAATTTATGGAGACGGCTTTTGCCACGTAAATTACAATTTTTTATGCATCAGAGATTATCTGTCTTTGGACATCGAGCATGGCCACTTCAACTTTCTTTTCAAACATTTTTATTTATTATCAAGATTAAGATTTCCTCGTTGCTAATTAAGGTGAAGAAAATAAGCGAAAGAAAATGAAAGTTTTACTACGTTTTGTCTACTTTTTTTTTATTCCTTCTTTTATTTCTACTGTCCAATAAACTTTCACATCTGTCAGAACAGTTCTATGTTATTAGTTTGTAGCTGCTGTTCTGCACAAAAAGACTTGTGCTAAACACTTCTTCTACCTTCTTTTTTTCTTTTTCTCTCTCTTATAAACCTAATGAGATTATTTACTCTTACATAATTTGCATCAGCAACAGGACATATGTAAATACATTGTATAAATATGCATGTATGCATTTTGTAACAGTATGTTATCTGTAAAGGAAACCCTCCTATACATTGTGAATAGCCTTAAACATCTGCGTAAGAAAGAAGGGAAAGCAATTTAAGCTTATATTTATAACGTATTTATAATATACACACGAGAAGTGTTTAGTTTATTATACATTGTTTTTATTTATAACATTGAAAACAGTTAATAAAAATAAAATTTGTTAATAACAACTAAAGGTTAGAATGTAAATAATTAGTCTTTTTCTACTTCTTTCCACATGAAAGGGTCTATTTAATAACTGAATGGATTGTTTAGTAAGCGAGCATTTGTCAATAAACAGATAACACCCAGTGTATAAACATCTCTATATAAACAAGAAATCAAGATCCAGATAACAATACAAAAGAAGAGTTTAGTGACCTCGGATGATATCCGAATCTACATCTTTCTATAGTTTGTTATTATTTTTAAAATTAAATTAATTGCTAGACAGAAGAAATACGTACACAGGATGCGAACCCACGTCCTTTCACACGTGTCAAATGCTCTAATAGTTATGCACTAGTTAAAAAACGAGATATGTTCTTTTAATAAAATTCTTAATTCCATCTCTCTGTAATATTTTCTTAATTTAAATCCTTGTTTTATAAAGAGAGAAGGGTTTGATCCTCGAACATATCAGAGTCTTGGTTCCTTTGTTGGGGTGGATATTGTTTCGTGCAATGTAAGTAGTATTTGTATAGTAGCATCATTTAATGCTACCATTCTTTCAATATTAAACGTTTATCAGAAGAATTAATTTATTCAAGCGTTTTTTTTTTTTTCGTTCTTCTTCTTCCTCTTCTTCAATTGAAACAATTCTTGGAACAGAAGAGGATTTTTCCATTCATTTCATTAGTACAACTAATTGAAATCCGAACAATGTGCATACACAGAAGTTATTTCTTTTGTTAGAACGAAATACTCTTCGTCATCAATATGCTAATTAAATTTTATTTTTAAAACCGCAGTAAAAATGAAATAAAATAATAATAATAAAGAAAAAAAAGAAGAAACTTTTTGAAGATTAAATATCAATTTTCTCGGTTGTGCAGAATACATCTGCACGATCAAATTTGCATTGATATGAAATGGTTCGTTTTCTGAATTATGATTACTCGCAAAACTGCTTTTGAATAATGATTACAGGCTTAAATTCTTTCATTTTCTTTCTTATCAAGGTGTATAAAGTTATTGCAGGCATCCTGCATCATTTCTATTCCTTTACACGTGCTACCATAGTAACATATACTGTATGTAATATTCAAACAATTGCATTCTGTAATTATACCTTGCTTAAACTGTACAGTACAGCAATACTACAGTAGCATACTTTTCTACTTTTCATACAGTAACATTTAACTACAGTATACTTAATCAATATTATAGGAATACCATTATAGGTGCGGAATACGGGAGTGTTTATTTAATTAATTAGAATAATTATTACTGATAAGATACGGGGGTGATTATCTGTCGTGGTTATTCTACTAAAGTAGTATTGTAACATATTTAATTTGTAGGGAAAGCTAAGTTTGTAGCATCTATTTTTCAACATGCTCACTGCAACTATAGATGTTACTATAGGACTTAATATGTTACTATACGAAATGCTGTGATAATATATAGTAAATATACTTTATATATATATAAATGTACTTTATATAAATAGAAAAACTTATCTGTGTATGCCACTGTAGTAATAACACGTTATATAAATGTCAGATTTTAATACGCGACGTTAAAGGAAATTTTTTTCTGTTTTCTACAAATATTTTTCGAATATTTCAAGAATATGAATTTGTCAACTTTCATATTTATCTACATCTGTAAAAGGGTAGAGAAGTAGTAATGCCTCCAGGGCGATACAACTGAAAAATATTTATATCTTTACACTTAAAAAAAATGTATATATATAAATAAATATAAAATATCTTGATGGAAACGTCAGAAAAATGAATATTTCTGTATTTATTCCAAGCGAAAATATCTCAAAATTAAAAAAAAAGTGTAGATCTTATTGTTGATTTAGCTTTGTGATGTGTTAAACAAAATTTTCAGCTCCATTACTTTCGCACTAACCGCACAATTTTGTGTGCGTTAAACGTAATTAACTAATCTACAGCCGTCTTTTTTTTTAATTTCTACTGTTTAAATTACTTTTTAATGTATAAATCTCGGAATAAAATATATTAAAAAAGGAGTTAAAAGGAGGTCGAAAGTTTAAAATGTTCACGTGACCGCTTTTAAAACTTCGATCGAGTAGACATATTGGTTATTCCTGCTTCCATATTTCAATACCTTTAAACGAATCGACTCGAATACCTCGAAGCTATTTACATCAAAATAGAAAAATATTTTAAATTTTCTGAAACTACGGACTTATATATTGAACGTGCTTTATCAAATATTGAAGCATTGTACAGTAGGAATCGGTGGTGTTATGAAGAGGGTGCATTTTAAATATCCGAAAGATTGATGATTAAACGAATAGATACGATTATTGGAAACGTAACAGCACGGTTATTTTATGGTTACAAACGTCATCAACCGCATCATTTTAACTGTATGACAGGAGATTTTTTTGTCATATTGCCACATGCGAGGACCCTTGCTATATCTTTTGATGTGAAAATATTGTGCTTGTCTAGTTCGTGTGCCCATCATCATTTCTCATTGTGTACTCGCACCATCATTACCTCTTCGAGAGATTCTTAAATTCTTTCATAACTCCTATGTTTGTTTTTACTACTACCAAATTCTAGTAATTCAGACGTTTCTTTTGTCGACAAATTATTTGATATTCGTTGTAAAATCAATAAATCTACGTTCTCTGGTTTCGGGCGGTAATATCTTTTCTTCTTTGGAAAAATTCTAAATGAACATCTATCATTTTGACTTTAGGACTGCCTAAAGGTTTTCCTTTTCGTTTTCTCTCTTGCAAATCCTTTCAAAAACAAATATTTTATTTCATTTTAATATTCAACCACTTAGCATGACAAGCGGAATGATCACAAATTTAAATTCTTTTGTGCTGAATGGAAGAGCCCACTTCTACTTCTTCTCCTTTTTTTGTTTAATATCTCCAGAATATTACCCATTTTCTCCTCTTTGTTGAATTTCATTAGTTTCTCTAAATTGTTGGATTATTCGTTTTTCCTCCTCTACTCTTGTATAATTGAAAAATTCGCAATAGGAAGAGGGGGAAGAGGAAGAGGAGAGAGAGAAGTTATCAGAAGTTCGAGTAAAGATTATAAATTGCTGGTTAACTAAATTGTTAATAACTATTTTCGTCCTCTTTTAAAATACTTCGTTAATACTGAAATATTAAAAAAAATATTCCTCTTTTTTTAAAATAAAATGTGTTAATTGAAGGCTGCATTTTTTGCTATTCGTTAATGAGGAAGAAAAGGATATTCTAAGGAAATGCTTCTGCGATTTTTCTCAATTAATGAATTAAAATATGCAATTTTTAATAATATTTTCTATCGAATCAAACATTTAATCCTATTTTCGTGCAGCTTGTTTAATTTGTAATTTGTTCCTTCATTTGAATATATAAACAATATTAACATTTTAACATTTATTAAAATACTTACAATTAACTTATACCGTTATGTATAACTAAAATGTTTGCAAAATACATGTAAATTGTTTAAAACGAAATTATTTTGAAGCACAATTTTATAGAATATCAGTTATAATTAATGTATAACAGATTTGTTAAGTATATTGACTCGAATACGTAACATAATACGTCACACTAGTTATTTTTAGCAATTTTTATTCATTTTCTCATTCTCCTCTTACTAAATTTGAATATAATCAGCAAAAACTAGGATAGAAAATAATTAAATTGTTGTATTAATAAGCAAACATCACTCAAATTGTAAACTTTGGTGTATAAATAAGCACGTGTACAGTACATTAAGATTCGCACCTTTTGTCTTATTTTTTTATGCATATTTTATAAGAAAAACTAACAGAGAATTCTCTTAATACAGGATCTGGGATTCAATCCAAACATGAAGATCAATTTGCAAAATTTAACCTCGATGTTAGAAGACGAACTGATGTCTGCAAGTAATTCCACCTTATACAAATTTGCAATGTTAACATACCAGAACGAATTGAGACACGTTAAGTAAGTATATTTACAATATATTTGTAATAATATTAAACAGAAACCGAGTAACCAATGAGAAAATATTTAACAGAATTATAAGATTGTAATTGGAATGAAGTCGAATTACAAAAGTTTTGCAGTCGTTTATAATGAGCTAATGATCTCTCGATTAACATTCTAAATTCTTGTCTATTATTCGACTTTTAAGTAGTAAAATCTTTATTATTTAATCATATGTCATTTGTTCTGTGTCATAGAATGAATTCTGGCACTAAATAAACTCATTTGTCTTAGTTGTTGATTGTTTCTATAATTAGAATATTTATTTCTTTGATTAATTTAACATTCGATTTTCTACTTTTAAAATTAAATTTAATTTGTATCTGTATAAAGAAAATTAATTAAAATTTCTTTACTTTTAATTATTTTTAAAATATTCTTTGTGTACTTGATGATAATTAAAATATTTATTTCTATTTAATTCATATATGCAGTAAAACCTGTGTAAACCGGATATTTTATCTTCGTTTAGACAGGTTTTATTGTATTTCTTGGTTTATATTTATCAGGTTTATATTATTCTTGGCTTAAATATATTACAAACACAGTAATGAATGTTATTTATTCTTGTAAATGAAACTAATTATTTTTTAATTACTTCCGAGAAGATTTGTTTACTAAAATTTTAAATTATTATTCGATTCATAGAATAGAAAGGCAAATATTCATCGTATATTTATATAAATATTGCATTATTTGTTTTTGAATTAAATTTTACACAATTTTCCTGTCGTTAGAAGCTCCTACTGTTTACACAGTTCTCCTGTTAATTAGAATCTCCTACTGTTTGCACGATTCTCCTGTTAATTAGAATCTCCTACTGTTTGCACGATTCTCCTGTTAATTAGAATCTCCTACTGTTTGCACGATTCTCCTGTTAATTAGAATCTCCTACTATCTACAGTAACAATATCAGAGGAAAAAATACTACAAGATATAAATAAAATTCAGCTTCATACAACTAGATAAACCCGAGTTATTACATTACAACGTACAGTACATAGCAATAATATTTTACTCATGAAAACAGAAAAATTATGCACAATAATGAAAAAAATGTTTTAATACTTATGAAACCGTGCCGGTAATTGTTGTGCAACTCGAACACCAACTAACAGTCGACCCCCTATAACACTATTGATAATTCCGTTTTATATGAATTACATGTTGTACGAGTCACTTACATTTTACAAATACGTGAGCCATTCACAGCCTGGCACACGTATTTGTAAAATCTAAGTGACTCGTACAACATGGAATTTATATAAAACGGAATTATCAACAGTGTTATAGGGGGGTCGACTTTGTATATAGTGTATTCACTCGGACACAAGGCTAATCTCATCATTAATTTTTATTTAGTTGATACGTGTACTTAATGTTTGTACACATTTCGGGCTATTCATGCCTCTCCTCAGTCAACTAAAATACAAATACATAATTGTTACAAATTACAATATATAAATAAAAGGTTATGCTATATAAAACATACCTTCAATATTAAAATTATTCTTTCTGAATTGAATGATACTTTTAAATTTTATAGAATTGAACCCCATATTTAAGGAAATATGGGTTTAATGACAAAACAATTAAATATTAATTAAATAAATACAAGGAAATAATTAAGAATTGCTTTAATTAATACATTACTTTACTTGCTTATCAATTAAAAATAACATTTGATATATTAATCATCATTGAATATTAATTATTTTAAATTACGTGTTTATTAAAATATAATTATGTTGTAATTTCTGTTATTTGACATTCAAACATTAATTAAAATATGATATTTTCTTCCCGTTATTCTCTATAAATGTTGTAAATTGAATTTTTCTAAGTTATTGTCTAATTTGAATAAGTGTAAATATCATTTCATATATCGAATAATTCTGAATTTATTGAGAAATTTGATTTATGTAATTAGGAAGGAAGAGAAATTCGTTTTTTCTATATTTTATATAATAATATAAATTATTCATAACTTTCTAGAGACAGTAATCAAAAGCTATTTGAGTAAATAAAGATTTTATTGAGCATTTAGGAATATTTATATAAAATAATTGAGAATTTCGGCTTTGTTATAGATTTTGAAATTACTGGAAGTATACTTATTTACATATTTAACAGTCTAAATGCCACCAAATCTTGTACGGTGGCATTTTGAGACGTAACGAAAACTTCCGTAAAGAAACAAGTTAGTACTAAAACTCATCACTGTGGCATTTTTGGCGCTTCATGAAAAACGAGCTGATTCTCAACCTTTGTGAATTTTGATGATGTGGTGTGGTTTTTTCGAGGACATGCTACAAATTTGGCAGCTTTCATACTAGATGTGAGAAGCATCAAAGGGTCAATTACGCTTGACAGTTGAACATACTTTTCGTCGCATTCAGAATGGAACGGTTTCTCCTGCATTGTTATGGACTTTACCAGTATATAGCATCAGTGTCTTATACAGATAAAATTTTTAATGCTTGCGGCGCCAAAAGTGCCATAGTGACGAGTTTTAGTTCTAAATTTTTTCCTTACTGAAATGTCCTCGTGTCCTGAAATGCACCGTATCAGATTTAGTCGCATTTGGATTGCTAAATATCCGTCTAAACAGCGTTGTGTAGGAATATTTTAATTACGAATACCCGGTTTATTTGTTAAATAATCAAGCCATGTATTTCATTCACCGCATAGAAATTGTGAAGATCTTCATTTTGTAAACAGAATTTCAAAATTTCAAAATGCAATATAGATATTTTCAAATGTTTTAGTATAATTTTCCTAACATAAAACTCCTCGGATAGGGATAACCCGTAAGAAATAATGGAAAAATTGTTATTCTATATCTTCTTAGGGGTTTTGATTTGGTTTAGTTTTCATAGAAGAGACCACGAATAACATGGATGATCTGGTAAAGGATTGTCTCGAGGACTTTCCATGAGAAACTCTCCCCCATTTAGGTGTTAAACATGTGAAGAAACATGGAAAACTCCACGCGAGAAATACTGGTGTTCGATAGTTTTATCCATTCAGTCATCCCTCATAGGTTCTTATAGACTAAATACTTCATAAGATGATAAGAAAATATTATTTTCGTGTGTTTTTCTTATGTTTTATGAAAGTAAAACAATATTTCTGAATTATATTTTCTATCGAAACTCTTCATAATTTGATTGGGACGTTTTCTAATATGACTTAATGTAGCTGGAAGAATTAATCTGATTTTGTAATTTAACATTCACCAAGAAAGATTACTGTTTCTAAGTGTTAATGAATAGTTGATTAAATTATATATTTCTAATCATTTATACTAAAGATTTAGACTAAACTTTGAAATTATCACTAACAAGTCTCTACATAGAAAAGATGATGGAAAGTTAGTTGATTATTAAGATGGATGCTCGAAGTTTTTGTATTTATCTCCGTTAAAAATTTGATTAGTTCAATCTTAGATAAAAATGATTGAAGTGTAACTTAATGGATTCCTTGTAGAATTACCTTAGTTAGAAGAATTATTAAGCTGAATACTTCAGAGAAAAGACGAGAGAAAATATTATTTTCATTAAAGATTTCGGTCATCAGACCACGTAGTAATTAGTGACGTTCCATCTTGGTCCAAAAATGTATGTAAAAACGAAATTATAGACCTTACGAAGGATAATAAAAGAAGAATAAATTATATTTCTAACTAAGAAACTAATTTTCAATTCATCTATTGAGAATTTATTGCAATAGCATCTTGAAAATTATCGAAGATATTGTTCCCAGTCAATTGACGAAGCTGGTATTTATTATTATATTGAAGACTTCCTGAAATAGCTGTCGGGTGATAATTAAATTCCACATTTTTGTCACCTTTTAAGATACGAATTTCTATTAAGATGGAATAATAAAATTGTTCACCGCATTATTATTAATATTTAATAATGGAATAATTAGTGAATCACATTGAAATTTGGTGAATTCGTAAAGAATGATAACAATTACATTCAAATTTAATTAGTATAATTTCTCATTTCTACGTGTACATTGAATTTTTCTAGAGGGACATTTCCTACAATAATTTATATCGATATGTTAATTACCTAATCGTAAACTATTAAAATAATTGATTGACTTCAATAGAATTTCAATCAATCCATTCACTTTCTTACTGATGAAATATTATATTTTAAATTTATAAAATATATATATTTTTTCCTTCTCAGAATATTGACTTTTAAAAATATATTTGCCAATAATTCTAAGAAGCCGAAACAATTTGTTTCTTTCTGATTTAACTTTATGGCACTCGGGTACCATTTTATGTTTTGGTATTTGGCTTTGTTTATAGGTTTATATTTTCCTGTATCAAGATCACGTCATGTCGTTCTTATAAGGAATTTCATTTTTCATCTTTAATTACCTCTTATTATTTTATATTATTCTTATACAGATGTATTTTATTTATTACCGAAAATTTTTCGGTTCGTGAGTTTTCTACCGTTAGCTTTGATTTAATTTTTTTTTCTTTGTTTACAGAGAAAAATAAATTAGTAAAATAGTAACAGCCTTATAATTGAATCATTTTTTTTCCTGTTAATTTTATTCAAATTGTAAGATTTTTGTTTAAGTCTACGGGTTTAAACGGTTCAGAAACGTATCGGATAATTGGTTTATCCGATACGTTTCTGAACCGTTGGAATATTGAAACCATAACTCATCTCTCCTAACTTGGGAAATTCGCTATATTTAATTAATTCCTGTATTTTATAGTAGAAATTAATTGAGTTTTTTTTTTGGTTGATGAGCTTAAATGTTTACAAAATCTACTATTTTTTTTTCTATCAATGGATTAAATTAATTGGATAAGGCAGTGCAACACACGGGCGATTTTCCAAGGAGTAGAAGGACTTTACGCGAAACTAGCCCCTATTTAGGCGTTACACACGTGAAAAAACCCAAAAATAGCGCGCGACTAGCCCGTTATTGAGATACAAACTCGCAGTGTTCAATGGCGTTATCTACTTGACCACTCGTGAGCCTTCTAGCAATGAAATCCCATTCAATTGTTCAAAAAAGAAAGAAAAAAAATGTTCAGTTACGAATGTTTTTATATAATAAAATCACGAAACTTCCGAAATATTTGTGAAAATTTTGTGAATAAAAAAAGAAATCCTCGAGACGAAATACTAATTAAATAAAATTTCACTAATATTTTATGAAATTTAAAGAAACTGTGTATAGATAAAATACCCGAAATGTTATATATTTGAATTGCGTTTTGTACTTTATATTGTTTAATTTATTAGAAGAATCGACTCAATTTGGAGGAAGATTGCGCTAAAAATTATATCAAGTAAAATTAAATCTTCTCTTTCATTCTCCTCTCTTCATTTTATAGAATTACTACTAAGAGATTGTAATATTTCACATGTAACCGTTCGGTTGTAATCATATATCCGAATTTAATTCAGATAGTAGTTACTGAAATTAATAGAAGCTGATATAATCATCAACAAATGAATTATAGTTTTCTGTACATCTTACAAAGACGATCTACTTTTCCACATTCACAGCGGAAATTCGGAGAATCGATCCTTTATAAAGCATTATACATTATTTAATTTTTCTTATAGTGTAACTGAAGCTTATCTACGTACAGTACAATAGTATCTGTACAAACACTGAGAAAGTTCTGTAGCTTAAATTAAACTCTAGGAACACGATATAAATCTAATTTTACATAATGTAAACATTGTTATAAATCTGCTATATATATATATATATGCGTATTAACACTAAGTTGCAAAATTAGACATATTATGCTCCAAGTCTAATTTTCCAAGCCTTATACAAATGTACTTATATATAAATGTGATACTAAAGTGTAAAATTTAATTTTGAATAGTGCAATATCGTATATATCTAATATTAAAGCACAGCGAATACGTGCTATTAATTAATTCCGTAATGTTACTTAATTTATTTACAAAATTCGAACAATTATAAAGCAAAAATAGAATAATTTAATTCGTTTTATTATTTACTTTTAACCGCGTAAACAGAGTAGAATAATAAGATTTCTTAGCTGTAAACAAGAGGAGGAAAAACATTTCTCGCCGCCATAACGCATTGAAAAACCGAATCTTCGCGGGGGAGGGGAAGTAAAAAATAAAAATATTACTGTCACAAATCAGACAGAAAATATCATTTTTATACGACTTCAGATATTTATTTCTCAATGGAGCTTCGTTAAGTCACTTCCTTCAGAATAAAATTTGTTGAGTATCACTTTCGCATAACAAAATCGTATCATTACTTCCCTACAAAATTTGACGTATTGCTATAGAATTTAAGAAAATCGTGTCATTGCATCTCATTTTGCAAAGATACAACCGTCGAAAACATCTTCGAATCAACAGATATGATTTTCCTATTGACTTTGAAAGCAGGGATTTTATATCTCAGTTTAAAAGAACGATATTAAACAAAATAAACTTACTACCTTACATTAAAACACGATTTTTCATAGCAGAATTCCATATAATCACTGAAGTTTAAGACCTTTAAATTTATTACTATTTGACGGAGGAAAAGGGGTCTCGTTTATAATAATAAGTTTAAATTCGTCTTTGTAATACTCGTATAAATTAAACAAGTTGTAGCTTGGGACCTGTGCATTTTTACATATATTATGGAGTGGAAGGGCCTGTTAAATGTTTGGCTTAGAGCCACAACAAATCTAAATCTAACTCCATGTAAAATTCGTTCTTAATCTTAAGATATCTTAATATTACTTGACCTTAAAAGTAAGGTAACTTTACAATAAAAGGAACGTTCAAAATTATCTTAAATCTTAAAAATAATCTCTTAATAGTACTCATAAACTTGTAGGCCACTTACGAATGATTTTGCTAAGTGGCTCATTTAAATTTAATACCAAAAATAAGCTTTCTGTTTTTGGCATTAAATTCGAATGCAGAAATTTAACATCTATATTTAAGATTTTAAGTATTTGATTGATTTTTTGAAAAGTAAAGCACCATCCCCTTCGTGCCGCCATCTAGTGCCAATAGAACTATTTAGCTAATCTATAACAGATCGATACCCTTCTTCAATAATAAATTACACTTCTATTTTCGCATAAAGAAGAAAATATAAATCTTCAATAAATAAATTTAATAGAAAACTAGTGAATTGTTTCATATACATTTTTTTTTTCTTTCTTAAATTTTTTTTTTTTTTAGAATAAACACAGTTAAATTATATTTCTCCCACGTGGAGAAGGAAGGGATATATAAATATATTCTTATGGAAAAAAATTTTTTTTTTCTTTTTTCTATAAATTAAGAAATTTAATTAAAAATCCTATCGATCAATTCTTTGAGATAAGAAAATTTAATTTAAATAAAAATCCTACTAATAAATTGAAAAATTCATTAAAATTGATGTTTTACGATTAGTTAAAAAAGTTACGTTACTATTCTACATCATTTGATTCTCTCGCTGTTTAATATTACTAATGAAATGATACTTTTATCTCTTGCTTAAATTTAATTTTGAAAAAAAAAAAAAAAAAAAGTTTTTCTTGTTAAATTTATGAAAGTTTTTAACTAAAAATAGTAGCGTAGACAGTCGTCTTTTGATAAGTTATCGTGCAATCGCTGGGTATTAATATTAACATTTGAAGGGTATCTCCAGTAACGCTGACCACATCACTCTGAAATTTAGAGAAAAAAAAAATGTTTAAAAAATGTGTTAGATTAACACATTTTTTTTTTTCTTACTTGTGCTATTTTTCTATTTCTAGAAAAAGTTATTCATCATGCAAATGAGTACACGATAAAAGAAAATTTTTCCTGAGAGAAAATGTATTAAGCAACTATTTTAGTAGCACGATTGGACAAAATATTGATTGTTACTTCATCATGAGTTTACTGTTGTGTGACATATCCTGTGTATTAATCTTTCTCTCTTGTTTGTGCGCTTTTTTTCCCCTCCCCTTTCATTCCATGTTTCTTTTCGTTTCTTTCACTTCTCTTCTTTCACTGTTTAGCAGGTTTGATACCATTAACGATACTTGATTGTGACTTTGAAAGGAGAAAATGCTGCAATTAAGAAGATATTATTTTGCTACTGTGACAAATACTGTCCTATATTTTACAGTTTATTTTAATAATTTTTATACTTAAAACTTTCTCCAAACTCTTAACTAGAAGAGGAGTAGCTTCAAAAATTAATTTCAATAATTATGAGGATGCTATATCATCCGGTTTAAATTTAGTGATATTGATCTGTGTTAGATGCGTGTGTATATATATATATATATGTATATATATATATCAAGGAAAGTTATCTCAGTTTAAAGTAAGGATGTAATTTGTTACTAATGTAGAGGTTGTCCACGATTTTCGAAATGAGAAGTGATATGCTGCAGTAATTTAAACCAAATGTGATCAGCCATTATATGTCATCACCGAAACTGGTCACTACATTACATGAGTTAACTGTCATAAACAATAATGGCAGTGAGTAATCTAGTTACTTGCTGTGACATGTGAACTCTCTATATATCTTGCTGGCTCCGTAATGATTTCCCTTGGTTAATGATAACAGAAAAGACAGGTGACAAAGATAACTTGGAAATCTTAAATCAATCGAAAGTAATTATGTTTAATTAGGTCTCTCTTTTTTTGTTTGTTTGTTTGCAGAGTTAATTATGATCAAGCTGCTGCTGAGAGGGAGAAGCTCAGAATGGGAATTGCAGAAGCTAATGGAAGGGCTGCATTACTGGCTCAAGAAGTTGATGATCATCACGCTAAATTAGAAAAATCTTCTCAGAATAAACTTATGTAAGTTCTTTTTTTTTTCTTAAATTAATTTGTGATTATGAATAAAATTCAGGAAAAATTTTGAATTTTTTTAATTTTTTCAATGTATATTAACTTGCATTAGCAATGTTAGAGTGGATCTTAAAGGTTAAAGTTGTGATTATTATTACTTATATTTTAATATATCTTTCCAATAAAAATATTTTTAACGATATTGTCTTAAATGGAATGGAAGTTAATCTCAATTCTCGGAGGATACACTTTTAAAGCATGAAGCATGTTTCAATTTATTGGTAAATTGGCAAACTGTAAAAGCACAATCTCTGGAGATGTATCCATAATAAATAGAAGTAATGGACGTTCAATGACAGTAATGTGGAAAATTAGACCCAAAATTAGCTAATTTAAAAGTTTGCTAGAGCGACTACTTCAAATTGTGACGAACACAATTCACAAAAGTCAGATAAAACACAACCATAAAAATCTAATTATCCAAGTAGAAAATATTTTAAGAATTTATTAAATTTAAGTAATATTAAAATATGTAGACTTTTCTATATTTTCTGTATATAATAAAACAATAGATATTAATATTTGCTCTTCATCAATAACACCAAGGTATTTAGAAAAGAAATATCAAGACCAAATGAAGGAGCTACAGGATGAACTTCAAAGAGAACGTGATATCCTTGCTGGCCAAACAAATCGCATCAAACAGCAATTCCAAAGGGAGATAAATGTTATACGTGAAGAAGAAGGGAAATTAAGAAACAGGCTAACTGTCCTCGAACAGGTACTCTCCTGTGTATTGATGCATTAGCAGTACAATTAAGCTTATAATTTACTTAATTGGATAAACCTTAGACATTTTAATTTTTATTCTTAAACGTATAGTTATATTTATCCTTTATCGATCCAAGGTCTTGTTTAAGATACTCTTCTAAGTGTTTATCAAAAGTTTCTTTCAAGAAAATGATAGAAATAAACTAAATATTCCTATTGATAACTTGCTCTTTTATTTTGAAGGAATGGAATAGATTTATCTGTGTAATCTCTCTCTCTCTCTTTTTTTTGTTTTTTTTTTAGTATTTTCTTCTTTCAAAAGTACATCTGCTATATTGTGATGATATTTTTGTCATGTAATAGCTCTATAATGTTTCTGTAATAGCCAAGCTGTGGTTTCTAGTAGTTTTTCATTTTTTGTATCAATGGCATTTGTTCCATTAGATTGTATTGTTGGCTCAAATTTATGTTATATTTGCTTCTAAACTTGTCTTTTATGTAGTTTTATATTTATGAGAATGTTACATCATAGATCTGTCATCATTTTACTATGTTAATAATGTTTCAAATAAATAAATAAATATATATATAATAAATAGCAAACAACAAAACTCAATTAACAAAAATATAAAAATATTCAAGCTTTACATAATAAAAAAATCAATATATTTAATATTGTTGTTATTGTTTTGTATCTAGAAGCTTTACAATGATAACTATTCCTTTTTTAAAAAAATAATTTATCATGCATAATAAAATCTAGTATAAAATGGCTCAAAGCCAGAATATTCTGTACTTATTCATAATTGAATGTTTACAACTTTATACAGATTTAAAATAAAAATATATATGTATATATTCATTAATCTATTATATGCTAAAATAGAAAATTTTAATTTTTCTAGGAGAATTCTAGATTAGAACAAGAAGTTATGTTAGCTACTGAAAAATGCATGGAAGCTGAACGTTTAAAAGATGCACAACAGAGAGAACTGGAGACTGTTACAGAGTTGAAGCAAAGGGTAAAATGTTACTATTTATTATCATTTATCTTTCTGATTGTGTAATTTATACATTATATTACCATTGATATCAATTTCATAATTTTATTGTTCAAAAAATAGTACATACACAATTACATGGTATAGAAATTCAGTTGAAGCAAAATATATACAATACGTGTATATAAACTGCATAATGATCTATTCTTTCAGTACTGGAATGCAATAATATATCCTAATTTTTTTTATTCGTATATATCAATAGTTAATAGAAATTCTTTGAAAATTAAGAGTTGAGTATGGTATAAAAAACTTTATACCATACTCAACTCAATTTAAAAAAATTTTTTATATCTATAGCCATTAATTCTAAATATACATCACCAGGAAGTTAATATAATCTACCAATACTCTAAATAAGATCTAGTAAAATTAAAATACCATTAAACAGTAACTTTTCTTTTGATAATCAAATTAAAAAAAAAAATGAAATCACATTTTCTCATTCTGTATTCAAATAAATATTATATCAAAATTTTGTCTAGTGTATATTATATTTATATAAGTATAGTGTATACACATAAATTTATATCTATTGTTTAATTTATNAAAAAAAAAAAAAAAAAAAATGATTTTTTTGTGGAAACTACAACTTGGAATGCTTCCAACTTTATCTGGTTCCACACACCAAAAAGATGTTTGCATTACCTTTATTGAAACTGTAATACATACTGCCAGCAATGATGAAATTTTGGAAAGGAAGAAAGTCTACAATTTATTTTCACCTTAAAAAATTCAATATACAAATCAGAAATAACCAAATTTAATATTTGGAATATTGTTTAGCTACAAGACAATATATATATCTGCTTTATTTTAATAAATATTTACAAATTTTACATTTACGGTATGCAGTTTCCTTAATAAGATTTGGAATGTTTGTATGTATCACTTCAAACATCTGAAATTGTAAATCTCAAACTTAAAGCTTGACATTCTAAAATCAATAATTAATATTGTTGAACCCTGATTGACAAGACAGTGCAATAATTGAATGAATCATCTGTATCATATGAAAATTGGATTTAGTGTTAGATAATATATATAATGTGTTTAAGTGAAACCTTCCAGAATAATTAGGAAGCTTATATTACCAAAACTTTGAATTTGTAAAGATTAAAATATATTTTTCTAGAGTATTTTTAATATATATATATATAGTGCTTCAAATAATGTGAAAATGATGATGATAATTATGTGTTTCAGAACTATATTAGATAGCATTAGCAAATTTGTCATTATGCCTGTCAAATTTAGCAATAAAATCAACTTACTTTTTTTTTTATTCTGGAAACAAAATTAATTTTACTTAAGAAAGACTGATGATATAGATATTTTTTTTATTGCATCAACTAAATTAAATTATTACATTAAAAACTTGATGCAGTTTATTGGTAAAGTACACCAAGTTTGCTCAGCAATACTTTATCAGATGAGAAGTGAAGTTTTTTAGGTGTCATTTTCTTCATAAGTTTTTTTTTTGAGTGATAAATTCCAGTCATTATTAAACTACCAATAATAAAAGTCATTTATCTAATATTAATATTAATACTTTTTTTATTCACTTTAATTGATTCATATATTAAATTCTAAAAATATATTTTGTTTAGAAAAATAAGTTATAGGCAACAATTCTCATTTGCAGAAGTAATAATATGAAATTTTTGTAAGTTTAGAAATGTTTTCTTACTGCAATGCTATATTTAAATTTTAAATATTTGTAGAAATAGTTTTGATGATATGCATTCCCTAAACCTGTTACAACTTAAATTTTACTGAAAATAAAAATAAAAATAAAAAATCTGTCTAAATTTAATCTGAATAAATTCAAAGCATTCTTTCATAAAGCTTTTTGAATAAACTACGAAACTCTATCTTTTATATATAAAGCAGAAAATACCTAACAAGAGAGGAAAAAATATCAAATTATTTGACATTATATAAAATACAATAAGCTTATAAATTATGCATTATATGTAGTTTCAAAAATTCTATAAAGTTTGTATATTCAAACTGTCAAATCTTTCTATTCTTTATACAAGTTTAAAAATTACCAAACAATCAATTTTTAAGTTTCAAAGGAATAATTTTAAATATCTTTAAATTTAAAATAGTTTTATCCAAAGGGTTCAAATAAATTCAATTATTATATTATACATAAATAGCTAAAGTTAATGTATTTTTTAATATTTTAACCATAATATTAAAATATATAAATATTAATATTATAAGAATTTATAAAAATATTGATATTGAATAATCACTACTCAAGTTTCTTATAAATGCATAAAAGTGCACTTATAATCTAGAGTACTTTCATGTATCAGATATAAAATGTATGAGCAGTTCATTAATCTGAATTTGTTTTTTTTTTTTGCTATTGGAAAAATCTTTCATTATTCAGATATACCTTTGCACATAAATCAAAATTTATATGATAAAAGAATGGCTTATCAAAATAGTCTTTAATCATTTACTTTGCTCTATTTAAAATTAAATGAATAAACATGTAAATTAATATTGTTTTTTCCATCAATTATACTTCATTCTTTTTTGTTTATACAGTTTATTTCTTCTAGATAATGATACACCAAATTACGAAAGTGTATGATAAGCAAGTACTGCAGGATCCTAAATTTTTAATTCAAATTTCAGATATATGAAGTAACTTTATAAAAACTGTTATCAGAATTTTACATTTCTTTATTGTCTAATGGAATGGTGATATTTTTTCTATCTTGCAGTCTGTACAAAATGGATTGCTGTAGATTTTAGTAGATGGTAGATTTTTAACTACTTTCATAATATTTTCTTTTAAATTAATTTGAAAATAAGATTTTTAATTTTTAATTTCTTCAGCATCTTTAATCTTTTTCATAACAAGTTCGAAAAAGTTGGTCCATAATGTGCTTTTATTTTTAACCAAGGCCATCAGAGGAGAAGCTTGGGATTTTTTCCTTAACTTTGTGGCCCTTAATGATTCTTATGACTATAAGTTAATGTTATTTTACAAAAAATGACATTTTTAAGATTGCTGGTAATATATATTAACAAAGAAACATTATTCATATTTCATTTGTCAAAAAAATATCACAAAAAGAGCCTGATAAGGAGCAAAACAGGCTGGCTTTACCCCAAGCCATACCAAGCTTCCTATATTTCTGTTTTTTAACATAAATATCACATGCACATTAAATATATTTATATTTATTATTAAAAAATGTTATTAAATGTTATAAAACGTTAGAATTATGATAATAGGATTTTTCTGAAAGGATGTATTTATTAATACTGAAATGATTAAACAGATATTTTATATTATAAAGAAGATCTCAACTGCATTGTTAGCAATAATAAATGAAGCTTTTGTCTACAGATTTCCTCAATCGAAGATTATTATTCAGAAGATCTATATTATGCAATCTAATTTGATATATAAAATGATGATAAATTGCATCCTTCTTGTATAACTTCTTAAATATTTATAAGAAAATTTATTATATTAGCGTCCAAATACATCTACTTACAATATTTACATTTATCTTTCCACATCTCTATGAGTTAAATGTCTACTTTAATCACAATTAGAAAACTTTTAATTTAGTGTGAGCAATTTTATAACTGAATATAAAAATTAAAAGAATCTTTTTATTATATCAGTGAATCTGATTGCTCATCAGTTGACAGTTTTATTTCGTTTTTATAGAATGTTGCAGTTATAAGTCATTTTTCCATTAATCTCCTCAGGTTTTATAGTGGCATGTCACATCCATTATATAAAGGCATTACTCACACCAATTTCTTCCTTTGGTTGCCAACTTTTCACTTGATATACTGGTATATATTTCTTTGATATAAGTACATACAGGAATGCTTAGGGAGAAAGATTAAAGCTTCAGAGCCGTTAAAGCTTTGCTGCTTTCTTAGAGTGGTCATAGTTTTGGACAGAGTCATTTAAGATAGCAGATTGGATAAAAGAGTTATATGTGTAAAAAGGAAGTGACCCAAAAGTTGATTGATCAATGAGGCAAGAGGCTGTGGCAAAACTACTTTGTCTCAATTACAAGCATATTAGCTTTAATGATGTTCTAGTAAACAAATTATCAGAATAAATATTTTGTTAGTGTATTAAAATATATAGTGAATCTTTTAATATGGAATTAACTACAAAAATGTAAATAAAAGTTAAAATAGATATATAATTTTATTTACATTTTACAAGAACATAAAAATTTCATTATCTGAATTTAAAACATGTAATTAAAACATGTGATATAATTTATTAAATATTTATTTATATGTTTATGAAATTTCTTTTTATACCAAATAGGAACTATGGTTATAACAATTCAATAAATAAAAAGAAAGTGAAACTAAATTTAAGTTGTATATCATTCACCTAACATAAAGGGAAACATTCTGAGAACTGCAAGCAGTTCATGACATCTGCTAGCCAACATTTCCTGAAAAGTATTTCTGCACTCCAGTACTTATAATAAAAAATTTTGATAGTGGCCAGAATCTATGTTATCCCTTCTGTGGAATTTTGGATAGTTTGTTTTTATTGATTTTTCTTACTACAAAGTATTCTCTTTCTATGTAGAAAATGAGTAACCTGCAGCACTTTGGTACAGAATAACTACCACTGTTATCCACTTGTATTGTTATCTTCATGGCTCGATCCCAAAGGGAGCTTAATGATTACTAAGGTAGATGAGGGAGACGCACCAGTCATCCTGCAACCCCAGGGACACAGCTGGAAATCAAGATAGGAACACTTTTGTAATATATCACTGTCTGTGTATCAACAGTTATCACTTGTGAAAGTTAACCTGTGGTCATGTAATTAACATGACAACTTTTTGTAGCAAATTTTAGACCCTTTTTTCTATTCAAAGAAAAAAATACCATTGTAATTTAATTGAACAAAGAGTTAATGTAATTTTAATATTCACATTTAAATTTTTTAATCCTACATTTTATTTCTGAATTTTATAAATAAATTATAAAGTTTAATAAATAGAAAATTTAAAATTATATTTTTATAAGTTTTGGAAAAACTTTTAATAACTGACTTTGTCTTGAATCTGTCAAAAAGCATGCAAACTTGACATACATGGATAAAATGTTTGTTGCAATCACATTGGAGTGACAGGCAAAGAATAACTTCTCAAACTGAAAGTCAATATAAGAATTCCAATACAAGAAAAGAAAATTTTCAATTCACATTCCTTTTCTAAATAATTATATTCTTGAGAATAACTTAATAAATATATACAAGTTTATGCAAAAAAATTGTAAAAAATTGTCTATTTTAATTTATGAACCTGATGAAATCTTTCAATTCCTGAGAGAAAAATTAACTTTAAACATCCAACAAATGGATTCTTCACTAACAAAAAAATAACAAAAATTCTTTTAATGTTATTTCTAAATTAGAAATCTCTATTTTAATAAAATAAATAAATATTTTAATGAAAATNTTAATATAACAATATTTTATAGATAATTAAATTATAATTTTACTTTATTCATTAACAATGGACAGTGTTGTACATCAATCTTGTATCAGTTGAATATATAATAAACTCTTAAAGTTATATATACATTAAGTGATTTAAAAAAATATTAAGTTGATATTATTTTGAGATGCAAAATTTAATAATTTTTCATATAATAATATATTAAAACATCATCTCTAAACTAATTATACACGAAACAATCAAGCAGCTGGCCATATTAATAAACTTTGCTTGACGATCGGGGGTGATTTCATACATAACATCTTCTGATAGTGGCAGCTAATTAATGAAAGTCTTTACTTTTCTTTTGTAGTCATGACCGTTTATGGAGGAGTGGCCCTCCTTGTAATGGAATTTAATAGCATAAGGGTGACACATTGAATTGCGTGGCTGACAACGGGGCCATGCTCTTCTGTTGGCAGGTTCCCATTAATAGTTCGTGCGAAAAATATTTATAACCTCTGCCATCAATCAAGTAAAATGACTGGGATGCATTTAACTGCAAGCACTTTTCCCAAGCACAGTTTTTGATGTTTATATTATATAACTGAAGTATTGCCATAAATATAAATCTACTGTAAATAATAAAAATAGAAGCTCATAACAAATAAACAAGAATACTTCCTAATATAAGTCTATAATGATTTTTAGTACACTTCAGAAAGCTTAATTTCATTTTCTTCAGGATGACTAATAGTTTCATTTGGGATATTACATCCAAGGTAGGGATATAAAATTATTAATGAGTTGGGATTTGGAGAATATGTTGGGTGTAATCCTCAGAAAAAATAAATTTACCAAAAAAAAATAATAATAATAATAAAAATAAGGCATTGTGTATACAAAAATGATCTTTGTCTTCACAATAATCCTTTTTGAATTGTCGAAAATATAACCAATGAAAGTTTAATCACAACGTGGATAATAATTAATTACTATAAACAGTGTTGAATCATTTAAGATTTAAGTTTAGCATTTTGTAAAATAAGAATAAAATTTATCGTTGCGTATCTCGAACGATATTCCTCTTAATAACATCGAATAATACTTTTAATGGTCTATTCTTATAATGTTAAATTCACTTTAATGTTCCTCACTTTCATTAAATTTTCTATTTCTAAAAGAGAATTTTTATGATTGATAAACGACTTTTGGAGGGGTTTAAAAACGGTCAATAAATTTATTATTATTATTATTTTTTTTTTTGAATGGCTGAAAATTTCACTACCAAAGTATGTTAAATCGAGGTAAATTCTCTTTAGTTAATTCTTAATTACCATTTAGTTTCGTCGTAAACGGGTATAAATGAGGTCATTTCCAATGTTTCGCATCAAATCCTCACTTGTTTGAGCTCATATAAAAATGTAGCGGTTATATATAAGTTTAAAGGCGTTTCTTTTCCTCGTTAGGACATCATTAATTGATACTATTCAACTTAAATGACTCCCATGTGGTCGAATTTCGATTTACTTTCAGAATTGTAAGCTTCTCTCTCTCTCTCTCTCTCTCTCTCTTTCTCCAAATTATATTTAATTAACCGGAATGGCACAAATTGATATTCAAACACTTGTTTCTACTTAAACTTAGTAATGGGTTAATAAATGGTAATTTGCTTCTCTCTATCACGTGAGTAAACAGCACAATTTTCATCTCTCTGTCGTTTCAATATTTCTCTCTATACCGAAACCAACATACCTAATTTTCTCTGCTTCACTTATCGCTGAAATAAATTCAGATAATTAAAAACGTTGGAATACGTTATTTTTCATTATTTCTTTCCATTTTTTTCTAATAAAGATGGAAAGATATTTAATATATTGTAACATTAATAAAATTTGATTTTATTATCTGGTGACGTGAATTTAAGAGTGAAAAAAATGAAATTTTCAGGTAGCTGAACTGGAATCGGGTCGAGGATTGCTAAGAGAACAGCATTATCAATCGTTATTACAAGAGCTGGAAAGTTATAAAAATCAAAATAAGGTAAAAATTCTTTTAATTTTTCTTTTTGTTATTATTTTTTTTTATTATTATTTCGTTACTTTGCTGCCGAATTTATTCTAGAAATGTAATTTAAGAGACGTGACATTGTTAAATTGAAGATCATCAATTTACTTGAATTGCCATAAATTTGTTGGATTATATCCAATTTGTGTTTTTCTTCATCTATAAAAATTTTAAAAGAGAGACATTAAAATCTCAATTAGCATATTCTACTTTTATATTTATCCATTCATATTTATTAGTTTATATAAATTTCAGCTATTTTTTTATAGCTTTTCATTGTTATGCATTTTTGACGCTGTTGATTACTTTTTTTTGCCAACGTTTCTTTTTAACAGCTTCGATCCGGAACCATCTTTAAAATCTACAAAATGGTATTTAAATTCATTCCTTACATTCCAAATCAGAATAGTTTAATGGATTTCGTTGCCATAACTGCAGATTTTTCCCCTCTTTTTTTTCCATTCTACAAAAGCACACTAGTGGCTACTTACTGGTTTTTATGACTTTTCTTCTCGTTCTTCTATCTGCAGTGATTGCACGGATGGTACATTTAGGTGATTGCAGTAACAAATGACTTTGTACCAGTGTCATTCTCTGTTATCCCCTATATCATTTGTGAAACGAATTTAGCTTACTTGTAATTGGGAACTTCAAACTTGGAATAAACGACAATGTCATCAGTCATCGCATTTTGATGGCATTCTGTCTATCTGAATGGCTCCGAATTATTTTTGATGCTCTTCCCTTTAAAATAATATTTTTATCTTATGCTATATAATACTTTAACCCTCATTCTGTATAAGTTAAAGAAGTCGTCACTGCAAGCAATTCTTTTCAGAAAGAAGCAACTCTGCATTTTGAATAAAACTTAAATCATTTAAAACAGCGAATAGAATGAAACAAAAAATAAATATATCAAATATAGAAGCAATAAATGAAAATAAAGGATTATATAAATTTTTTTCGAATCATAAATTATTATTAATCGCTTTTAAGTACAAATATTTTTAGTTCCATTAGTTGGAAAAGTTTTTCCCCCTCCTCCTCTTCTCCTCCGCATCTTCCATTCTTTTGTTTATTATTATTATTATTCACCGCATTTCTACTTAAAATATTTTTTATTTGAATAAATGTATACGAAAAGAGATTTTTAATCTGTTTTATAAAACAAAAAATACAATTTTTGTTTATTGTTTTAATTAAAATTTATATATAAATTATAAATAACACGCATAAAGATAAAAATTTATTGATTCCTATTCATTAGAAAATAGTTAATTTAATCGTTTTAAAAAATTAATAATATATTTTTTTTTTCAATAAAATCACTTTAAAAATTCGTTTGTTTTAATCTAAAAAAAATGTTAAATTAAAATTATTAAATATTTTATTTTTATAACTCAATTATAAAGTATTTAATTTTGAAAAGAGAAAAAAATATATATAAATATTTTTATTTAATAAAAAATTCAAGAAAATTGATGAAAAAGTAAATAATATTTTAAAAATAATTCTAAAAAAATTATTTAAACAGATCGAAGAATATATTTTCTCGCATTGGATCACATTTAATTAAACTTTTCATATTTATTACTCAGATTAAATTAACACCTCACAAATTGTATTTTTTTTATTCCTTCCTGTCTACATAATTAGATTAACTCTCCCTTATGGTTATAAATTACTTAACTCGCTGTTAGCTTGAAGAAGTTAATATAAATTTACACCACGCTTTAATCAACTACTTAACATAAGCTTATCCCCCTTCTATGCTGATACGTGTATAACATATATGATACAATTTCTAGGAACTGCAAGATCAGATAGACGAGCTGACATTAGAAGTAGAGAGCTTAAGACAACAGCTTGCAAATAGCAGTCGCCCTCAGGGGAAGAGGCACAGGATCACTGGTTCTTGGTTATCTGATTATACAAAGGATAACAATAGTTTGAAAAGAAGAGGTAGCGGTTCTTCGTCAGGTGAGTTTATTGATCCTTAAATTCTATTCAAATTTAATTTCTAAGCCGAGTGATTAATTGTATCAAAAGGTTATTGATGAATTGCAACACGCATGGTTGATCCTGAGTAATTCTTTAACTTTTAATGTATGAACTTACCTGTAACTAATCCTATGTCTTATCATTAAATACACTGATTAATATATATATATATATTTTTTATTATTTTATTTTTATATATATTTAAAAGCTATTCTTATAATTAATTACCTTTTTTGACCCTATGTTTAAAAAGGTGTACTGTGCGTTAAAAAATTATTGAATTTCAGCATACCGAGGGAAAAGAGATTTTTGATAAAAAATATGCCTTTATTGTATATAATGCATCCAATTCAAAGAAATATTTGTATATAGCGTGTGGTTATCGAGTCAATATTGAAAAAAACATCTATTCAATAGCACAGTTTACAGCATAAATGGCTGCAAAGAGAATTTTATAAGAGACGATTGAATAGCAAGATTTTTCCTGAAAATAAAGAGTACTATAATGTAATATTAAATTTTCCAGTTCACTTTTATTTGATAGAGAAGAGAACAAAGTAATTTCAGTTCCAATAAAATCAATATACTTCTATATAATGTAGTAAAACCTGGAAGATTTCATGTATTTTAAGTAAGTAAGAGAGTTTTTACTAGCTTCCTATTCAGACTAAAGAGCGAGAAGAAAGAAAAGAAAAGAAAGGAAAAATAAAAAAACATATATTTTTAATGATTCACAAAAACAAACGATTAAAATAAATAATTACACTCCGTAAAAATTTCTCTTAATTGATAAGATTAAACTGAAAAATAAAGATTTTCGCCATACTAATGATGCGAGTTAAGAAAAGTACTTTAGAGTTTTGTAAACAGTAATTCTGTTTTTATAATACTTTCTTCGATTTTTAGCGTAGAATAGAAAGTTTAAAATAAAATTAATGATTTACTCAAAGGTAAATCGTTAAATTTTAAACTTGCCAATTTATTAAATGTGACATTAAAATGATCTAATTATGTAACTTTCTTTTTAAATTATCTACTTTTGCATTGATTCATAAACAAGAACTGTGTTGTCTCGCCTTTCTTTCGTAGTTTTATATAATAGAATATATCAATTTTTACTTTCCTGACCCTTACAGAACAAAGGGAAAGTATTGAAACTTCACCCCAACCGAAATTTTCGCATTTCTCGACATAAATGACATTCCGTAAATATAAAATAAGGGAATAAAATTGTGTATATGTTGGCCTGTATTTTATTTTATATCTCAGGACTGGATAAACCAAAAATTTTTGAAATTTGGCAGGAATACTTCTATATATGAGGCATTGATACTGTTGCATTTTGGCGCTTGTAAGACAAGAAGACACTTAAAATTTTTTTAAAAACTCCCCTAAAATAAAACGTTATAATTGAAAATTATCGAGTTCCTTTCCTTTCTGGTTTCCTTAACCTTTTCCTATTCGAGTTATGCAAGAACTCTTGCCACTCTTTCCTAATTTATATAATAAAAAAATGTATTTTTCACTTCCTATTTTAAATCTAGAATATTTTCGAACACATACAAAGCAAAATTATTAATTTTTATATTAGAAAAATTAAATTAAAATCTGCAAGACGAACAAAAAATAAAAAAAACTCAATTTTCTATATTTTCAAGATTCAATTTTCAGTATTGGAATTCTTGTCAGAAATGAAGAAAACAACAAAAATATATCTTTTTCTATCTAATATAAGTTTCTAGGATTTGGAATCTACTCGAAATAACGTCAGAAAGGTTTTTACTAAGTATATACTGAATATATACGTTCCTCTTCTCAAGAAAATATAATTCAAGAAGGGGGGAAAAATCAACTTTTTATTATATATTACTCGANAAAATTATTTAAACAGATCGAAGAATATATTTTCTCGCATTGGATCACATTTAATTAAACTTTTCATATTTATTACTCAGATTAAATTAACACCTCACAAATTGTATTTTTTTATTCCTTCCTGTCTACATAATTAGATTAACTCTCCCTTATGGTTATAAATTACTTAACTCGCTGTTAGCTTGAAGAAGTTAATATAAATTTACACCACGCTTTAATCAACTACTTAACATAAGCTTATCCCCCTTCTATGCTGATACGTGTATAACATATATGATACAATTTCTAGGAACTGCAAGATCAGATAGACGAGCTGACATTAGAAGTAGAGAGCTTAAGACAACAGCTTGCAAATAGCAGTCGCCCTCAGGGGAAGAGGCACAGGATCACTGGTTCTTGGTTATCTGATTATACAAAGGATAACAATAGTTTGAAAAGAAGAGGTAGCGGTTCTTCGTCAGGTGAGTTTATTGATCCTTAAATTCTATTCAAATTTAATTTCTAAGCCGAGTGATTAATTGTATCAAAAGGTTATTGATGAATTGCAACACGCATGGTTGATCCTGAGTAATTCTTTAACTTTTAATGTATGAACTTACCTGTAACTAATCCTATGTCTTATCATTAAATACACTGATTAATATATATATATATATTTTTTATTATTTTATTTTTATATATATTTAAAAGCTATTCTTATAATTAATTACCTTTTTTGACCCTATGTTTAAAAAGGTGTACTGTGCGTTAAAAAATTATTGAATTTCAGCATACCGAGGGAAAAGAGATTTTTGATAAAAAATATGCCTTTATTGTATATAATGCATCCAATTCAAAGAAATATTTGTATATAGCGTGTGGTTATCGAGTCAATATTGAAAAAAACATCTATTCAATAGCACAGTTTACAGCATAAATGGCTGCAAAGAGAATTTTATAAGAGACGATTGAATAGCAAGATTTTTCCTGAAAATAAAGAGTACTATAATGTAATATTAAATTTTCCAGTTCACTTTTATTTGATAGAGAAGAGAACAAAGTAATTTCAGTTCCAATAAAATCAATATACTTCTATATAATGTAGTAAAACCTGGAAGATTTCATGTATTTTAAGTAAGTGAGTTACTTCATTCTTTTTTGTNTTTCTTCGATTTTTAGCGTAGAATAGAAAGTTTAAAATAAAATTAATGATTTACTCAAAGGTAAATCGTTAAATTTTAAACTTGCCAATTTATTAAATGTGACATTAAAATGATCTAATTATGTAACTTTCTTTTTAAATTATCTACTTTTGCATTGATTCATAAACAAGAACTGTGTTGTCTCGCCTTTCTTTCGTAGTTTTATATAATAGAATATATCAATTTTTACTTTCCTGACCCTTACAGAACAAAGGGAAAGTATTGAAACTTCACCCCAACCGAAATTTTCGCATTTCTCGACATAAATGACATTCCGTAAATATAAAATAAGGGAATAAAATTGTGTATATGTTGGCCTGTATTTTATTTTATATCTCAGGACTGGATAAACCAAAAATTTTTGAAATTTGGCAGGAATACTTCTATATATGAGGCATTGATACTGTTGCATTTTGGCGCTTGTAAGACAAGAAGACACTTAAAATTTTTTTAAAAACTCCCCTAAAATAAAACGTTATAATTGAAAATTATCGAGTTTCCTTTCTGGTTTCCTTAACCTTTTCCTATTCGAGTTATGCAAGAACTCTTGCCACTCTTTCCTAATTTATATAATAAAAAAATGTATTTTTCACTTCCTATTTTAAATCTAGAATATTTTCGAACACATACAAAGCAAAATTATTAATTTTTATATTAGAAAAATTAAATTAAAATCTGCAAGACGAACAAAAAATAAAAAAAACTCAATTTTCTATATTTTCAAGATTCAATTTTCAGTATTGGAATTCTTGTCAGAAATGAAGAAAACAACAAAAATATATCTTTTTCTATCTAATATAAGTTTCTAGGATTTGGAATCTACTCGAAATAACGTCAGAAAGGTTTTTACTAAGTATATACTGAATATATACGTTCCTCTTCTCAAGAAAATATAATTCAAGAAGGGGGGAAAAATCAACTTTTTATTATATATTACTCGATCTATATCTACTCTAACATGCATAACAATAAAAAAGAATATTTATGTACAAGTTTTCATTTAAAATTTATATTAAATACATGATATATAATACAAAGAAGGCTTTCTTACCTATTTAAATCCTTATATTTAATTTTATATATTAATAAACAAAATACTAAATTTAAGAGCATGAATATTAAACTTTAGCTTCTATATTCCATTTCATAATTTTAAAATAAATAATTATAAAATATATATATTTTTTTCCTAAATTCAATAAATATTAATATTTAATTATAAGCTTAATTAATATTAGTTAGTTTATACTGTTCTTTATTAATTAAGTTCCATTTAATGCATTTATTTTAATTTTATTCCATTGAAATTAATTTAATTATGATTAATGCAACTTCTAATTGTTATTATATATTATATTTTAGCATATTTGACTTTTTTTTTAAACTTTAATTAATAATTTAATTATAATTAAAGTAATTATAGTTAATTTTAATCTAGAGCTATTTAAATTAAAATAATTATGATTTATCTTTATTAATTTAATGTAATCAAAATTAATGCTACTAGTTAAAATAAGTTTACTTCTAACCAAATAATTAAAATTAACACTACTAATTAAACTTTTAACCACAAAGTTTAATTTGCATTAATGGGAATTAATTATAATTAAATTAACTTTTAGTTATTTTAATCAGGATTATTTAATTATCATGTAATTAATTTAGTTAAAATTTAATAAAATTCATTAAGATAAATTTTTTTAAATGATAGAAATATCTTTAAATAACTTTAATGATCCACTCAGCAAGTGAAATTGTAATTAAATTAATCAAGATAATTATTTTAACCTTACTAACAGTTAAACTAACTAGTAAATTTTAACTACTGTTACTTGATGAGTGAATCATTAAATATATTTAATTATAGTTAAAATAACTAAAGCTATTGTAATCATAATTAACTGCTTTACTGAAGATATATATTAGTTAAGTAGCCTAACTAATATATCTTCTGTATAATTAAGTGCTTTTAATTATAATTAAATTGAATTGAACTTTAAAAATAGTTTAAATTAATTATAATTTACTAACTAGTTACAAAATAACTTGGATTAGAAAGTCAAAACCTCTAAACTGCAATATAATTAATGATCATAGTGCATTATTTAACTAACTTAATTATGGTTTTAAACATTACTCATCTCATAATCTGATTTCATACATCAATATTTAAGTGATACAATTTAATTACATTTAATATATATATATATATTTATATATATTTTTTTGCATCAGTTAAGTTAGAAATCGATTTTCCATGATGATAATTCAGTATAAAATATGAAGATTATTTACATAATTCATTGTCAAATGATCCTAAGGCTGAAGAAGGGGAGATTTTGTTTTGTAGATAGTTTGCTTAATCGAATTTAAATCGAAGATAAAGGAGAAACTAATATATAAAACAGGATGATAAACAATTTTCTCTTCGAAGAAGAAACTAATATGTTATTTTCTTCATTAAGTAATATTTTCCTCTTAAGAAAAATCCCTACTTTAGCAATATTCGATGAAAGAGGAACCAAGTTACAATTGACAGATGACAAATTAGAAGCATTAATTCTGTAAGCTGCTAACATACACGTTAATCCTAGAGATAACTTGCCACAAGAAGAAAATATTTCCAGAAACGATCTTCACGAATGTGGAATTAAAAGAAGAAGAAGAAAAAAAGGGGGGAAATCCAGATAATTCTTTAGACAAATTTTTAATATCTTTATTCTGTTGTAGCTTTCTTTAAACGGGATAGGTAAAGTATAAGTCAAGATAGTGGATATGATTAATGATGCAATTATAGATGTACAAGATTGTTTGATTAATTGAACACGAAGTTTCTTGATGTATAAGGGTCGGTCACATATCTCTTTTATAGTTTTCTGTTATTAATTACCGGACGGTTCCTTGCAAAAATATTCAACATCATAATCACTTCAGCCAATATCAATCTCCAATCGTTAGATGATGATTGAAAAATTTATCTTGCTTTATCTTCAAAACTTTTCAAGAAAATCAATGATTCTTAAGAGCCAAAAAGCTTAACTTTTTTTTCATAAATATTGCACACATATTTGATTTCCAATTCGGATAAGAGAACCTTCTTTTTATTTGCAAAGGTTGCATTTTTCAATATATATATTTTCAGTAAATTCATAAATATTGAATATTGCAAAAAAAAAAACATTAACTATTTATATTTTTCAGAGGATAATTCTGATGACGACAGCCCTATTGTAGGGAAAGTGAGGAGGAGAATATTAATGCTGCCTAGAGAAGGTATTTTTTAAGCTGGATTTTAATATGGTGGCGTAGGTTGGCACGCGTTACACACATTTGTATTCGCATCTGTCGGTCGATTTAATGCATTTTTGTTAAAAATCTTAATATACACACGAACGTGTGCAATGATAATTTTAAATATTTAATAATAGTTGATTAATACTGTATTATTTTTAGATCAAAACCGTGTGCCATTTGAGGTAGAAAAATTGAAAGAACACCATAAAGAAGAACTAGATCGATTGAGAATCGACTACGAGAAGGTAGTGAAAGACATCGAGACTTCTTATAAGAATCGCGTGACTGAATTAGAATCCCAACTAGAAAGTCAGTTTCTATGGCAACCCGAAGTCGATCGTGACCAGGTCGACAGTCAAGAAACTATACAAGCAGAATCTCAAGACACAAATAAAAATGAAGAAACGTCTCGAATTCTCCAACTACAAGATGAGGTCAATCAACTGAAAGAGAAATTATCACGGGAAATAAAAGAGAGAGATAATTTAATATCACAGAATGAACAATCACTAATTCAGTTAAAGGATGAAATGGAAATTTTGCTGAAACAAGCCGACGAAAAATTACAAGAACAGCTTCGGGTTAATCATGTATTGCAGAATACTTTGCATCAACAAAAGCGAGAAATGGAAAACAATCTGCACGAAGAGCAAGAAAAATTAAAGAGATTAATGGAAGAAGAATTAGAAAAGAGGGTGAAGGAAGCAAAAAACCAAGCTCTGTTAAAAGCTAAAGACGAAGTTAAAAAGGAATTGCAACAACTGACACAGAACCATCACGGAGACGACATCACAAATCAGATGAGCAAAGATCTAAGAAGCATCATCCAGAATAGTCGACAAAATAGATTGTGTGGTGAAGAAGAAAGTTACGATTCTTATCTTCAACAAGAAGTAGAAGAATTATTAACAAGGACTCTGAGAATCGTCGAAGCTAGATTAGAAAGTAATCATCTTCAAGAACAAGACAAGTTAAAGCAACAATGGGAAGAAGAGATGAATCAGCTGAGTGAGTATCATCCATTTTAAATTTATGAGCTGCATGCTTAACTTTTCTGTTAACTCTACTACTAGTTAACTAAAAATTTAAAAAAAAATTAATCTTCGAGGCCACTCTTAATGCTTAGGGTGTAGTTTTAACTTAAGATAGTAGATGGTATTTTGGTTATGTGTGTTTAGCATGTATGGTTGGCAAGCGTTGCTCCATTTACCCCACAGGACAACAACAGATAATGGAACGACTGGAAATGGAATTACAACATAAAGAAGAATTGCAGATGGTGTGCGGGGATTCTGTTGCTGTACCCCAAGCCATGGAGGTCGGTACGGTTCTTTAATCCCTACTGTGCATGAATCTCTTTAATCCTCTTTGCATGTATTTTCATTTAACTAGATCTAAAATCGCAGATATTTATAATAATCTACTTAATCGTAACTTTATCATACGTATGTAAAAATGTAAATTTTCACGACGAATCTTTAACATCTGTCATTCTAATATATTAATATTAACTAAACTAAGAATCTAGAGTAAAAATCAAATTTAAATCAAACATTTTCTAGAACTTCCTAAAGTTAATGGCTACACCAAACTTAATTTAAATAAAGAAACGTGTTTGAACTTGTTAAATACGGCACCAACAAAAGAACTAACAAGTTCTTTATTTATTCATTCGATATATTAAATTCGTTCTTATTTGTGATCAACAAAACCGTATGAAAAATGAGTTTTATCTCATTCAATTTACTCGATTTGTTACGCGATTCCTTAACAAACTATACAAATTGAAAGAAGTTGAAAATTGTGTGAGGGCAAAAAAATGAACTGGTTATCATTTGTTGGTGTCAAAGAACAGTTGATTGATTCGACTAGGCGTAAAGAGGTTAAAGAATATCCTAGAACAGAAAACATCAGGTATCATTCCCACAACAGGCAAAAGAAACACTAGAAAAATCCTATTCTGATTACAAAGTACACTTGGAACTTTAAAGATGCTATTTTTTAATGAAAATGTATCCCCACCAAAAAAGTAAATTTCGTTATTTATTACTTTATTTTTAAATTGGGACACGTAGAAAATTTCGAATTTAATACAGAACCCGTAATGATTAATGAACACTTTATGAAAATTTTATCAGAAATTGTCATAGTAGAAATTACTTTTATAAACTTTCACCCCGGCGTAAATTTTGAGTTAAAAATAATAATATATCGTTTAAATTCGGTGTTTTTTTTTCCTCACAAGTAAACTGTGTAGTCAACGTTAAAAAACTGTTAATGGTCCATCATTTAGTGAGTGTGCATAAGGGTTGTTATCGCTATCTTACTCGAGTAAATGGGTGTCATGGTTACCTTACAAAGTCATTATATTGACAAGCTGCAGATTTATATGATCGTTTAAGACGTATCAAATAGCAATTAGTGGTCTTTTTAGTATTCATCTCTTTAATTAATTAACAATTGTTTGATCTTTCTTAATTAGCATAAAAATCCTCAGTGTTTAAACTAAGCTATCGAGTTTAAAAGCGCGGAGTAATTTTTCGAAGGTAGAGTCGTGTTTTATGATATTTGACATACCAATTAATTAAATATATCGGTCTTCTATACACGGTGTATTCATAACGTTGGAGCTAGTTATAGAAAACTGCAGGATACATCTGTTTCTGAATGCCAACACCCATGGGGTGGCACAATGCTTATCCCCATCACTAACGATCACAGTCATTAGCAGGGGTGTGAGGGGCACGCGACATTATACAGAGTTAGATTTAATGACCGGAGTTCGGAAAGAACCGCTGCTGCGATTCGTGGAATGGAGGCGCATCTCTAAATCGAAAACGATGTAACATTTAAGGAAAATCATAACCTTTGTCGACTTTAAATACATTTTATTTAATTTTATACATCATTTTAAGAGTAACAGGTAGTGTAATATTTAATATTAACTAGAAATAGATATATGTGTATATAGCCTACACACGAAGGAATAGAAAAAATGTTAATAAAATTCTGGAAAAATTCCTTTCTAGCCAACCAAGATCGACGTTTTATTGAAGGATCTTTACCTGGAGAATTCTCGACTACTCAGAGAGCTGCAAATGTCGGAAGATAGACAACATAGAGCCGAACAGACTAATACACGTCTACAATACAAGTGTAAGGTGTTAAGTAAACTGGTGACCGACATCACTAGAGCAGCAGTGTCGTGACCTGCAATTCAAGTGTCGTGTAAACACGACTTCTCTTAACTTTTATTGTTTTTTTCTGTCTTTCTGGCACCTGTGTCTATCGAATTAATTAGTGAGATTGCCACATATGTAAATATAATTCACAGTTAACTTCGACTTGCCAGAATTCTTCCAGGACATTATTTTTTTTTTGTTTTTAATTTTACGACGCGCTGGAAGCTTGTAAAGTTTGTGCATATGTCTCTAAATAAAGTATATAAGTTGTTGAAAATATTGAACACTGTAATTCTATGGCACACCGCACAATACTGGTGTATATCGCTTTGTAATTACAGAAGATAATCTACGTCCTCTCGACTAAATTCAAAGCCAGGTTAACTATTTATATGCATGTTCACACACAAATTTTGTATTACCAACTGCTACGTGCTTACAATACCAAGGAAGAGAGTATTCAAACGTAATTACGAGACGTATAAATTCTATTGCATTTTAATGATGATTTGAACAATGTAAACTCGCTCCGATTGATAAGAATAATGTTTAATTGTAAAGATTCGATTTAAAAATGATTGAAATTGTTATTTTCTTTTGTAAAATGTGACGAATTGAATTTACCTTTGATCGGTTATGTTTAATGATTATCGAATTTATAAGACAAATAACTACTGCTAATTTTAGTTGAATGGGTTTCTAGTCGATAAACACGATTCGTGTACAGAAGATAAAGCTTAGAATCCGATTTGATGCTTGAACAGCTTCTGGCATATTGCTACAATGACTTTGATCAAGTTTTAACTTTACAATATTGAAATTTATCATTTCAAAATCGTGTTAAGTAGCCATTTTTTACGTTTATAATAACAGTAATTATCACAAGTCATTGATTGATGAGTGATAAATATTTAAATTTATCATTTAATACGTAAGAAAAGTGCAGTTAAATCTACGTAATTAGCAGCAATTTAGATATTTATATGAATTTATATTAAAATTTATAGATTAATTGATAATAATTAATGAAAATATTCAATGGGAGCAATTTATAGCCAAAATCAATTATTGAAACTTATCAGATTGCCAGTAATTTGATCATTTTAACATAAATACCATTATAGGTTACATTAATTACTGGAAAATTAGCAATCGAAAGCAATTGATTATTAAAACTGATAAATTGTCTTCATTCAATCTATATGAATTTGTTCTCTTTACAGTTTAATAAGGGGATGAGTACTGTCCACTTTACACTAGTCACAATACTCTTAGAAGAATATACAGAAGGAAAATTAGAATATTAAGGGCTCTAAAAATAGGAATTTAGTGTCATTGTAAGGAAGAAGGTGTGGACTACGGAGACGATTGGTGCTTGTTTTCATATATTACAGTGACAATAATTAATGGAAACTTATTTAAACAATTAAATACCCCCCTGATAGTCAGTTATTATTAGTTATTTTATAGGAATAAAGTTATTTACTGTTAAAATTAAGTATTTTATATTAAAATTTAGGATTATAAAATACAATTAATTGATAATTACTTTCATATTTACTGTTATATTAACAATAGTGAGTGAAAATATCTACAATTTATAAGATAAATTTTTTATAAATACTTTTACAAGAACAATAATTACTAAAATAGCAACAATTACAAATCATTGATTGTAGTTTTTCAACAAGATAAAGTGTAATAATTGATACTGTTATTGAAACAATAATCAATTAATAAAAATAATAAATTATCATAAATACTATTACAATAACAATTAGTGGAAAGTAAACAAAACAATAGTAATTATTGAAATGAAAGACTAGTAAGGAGATGTATTGTTTTAAAATAATATTACACACTTCTATTAATTACTATTTAGTAACAATAATTAGTGAAAAGTAAACAATTAGAAGCAGTTAATAAAAGAAGCAATCAGCAATTTACTTTATCAACATATAAATGGAAGAACGTTTTGTTATCTTGTTGAAAGAGGTAAGAAGAAAAGGAATGAATTGATCAACATGATCAACAGAAAAAGAAAAAAATATTCAAGTAACTTAAAATGAAGTCTTTTCTTTTTTTTTTTTTTCTTAGAGGACAGAATAAGTTTCAACACTTTTCACAAAGGGAAATGAGATGAGTTGGTGAAGTTAAATAAGTGTAGATGGTAGATTAGAATGGAGGTGAATGGAAGGACTTCTGTTAAAAAAATAAATAAATAAAAAAGGAAAAATTGCCAATGGTGAGAGGGGATTAAATCTTGCACATGTCTGACTCGAAGATTACAGACTTAAGATTAGTTCTGGGTGGGTTAAATATATATATATATATTTTTTTTTTTTTTATTTAGAAATCATGGCGCCAGATGGATGATTCATTCATTCATCTGAGTTTTTAAGATAGCAAGAGAATTATTCAAAGGAATAAATTTACTTCAAATCGATACATTATTTTACTTACTTAAGCATAANGCACATGTCTGACTCGAAGATTACAGACTTAAGATTAGTTCTGGGTGGGTTAAATATATATATATATATTTTTTTTTTTTTTATTTAGAAATCATGGCGCCAGATGGATGATTCATTCATTCATCTGAGTTTTTAAGATAGCAAGAGAATTATTCAAAGGAATAAATTTACTTCAAATCGATACATTATTTTACTTACTTAAGCATAAGAAAATACGCGAGCGGAATGAATATTCTTGAATAAAATATCGAACCGTTTATATAGATAGATGGATATATTTTCTTTCTTTATACCAATTATATTCGAGCTTATTTGTCGCTGAAGTAGTTGATCTGTATGAAAATACATTCCTTAAACTGAATACATAGGAAAAAAAAGGGGAAGAGAGAAAGAAATCTTTACAATTCCCAGCCCGATCGATACGAACTATACTTTTACCCCGAAGTCATTGTTAAAGCCGTGCAATGTGAAGGGAAAGCGATGACGTCATCAAACCTTAATCAAAGACCTGCATGACATTGTTAGGGAATGGGAATGATCTGTGCTGGTGAAGATTTGTTTTATTGTGTTTTCTGTTTTTCCCAACAGGTTTACGTCTCCCAAATGGCAATGATTGGTGAGCGCAGTGTGTACTCAATGGCTTTTATCTGTTCTTGATGATAAATCCGATAACCCTACCACTATGCAAAAATTCTTATCTTTCTATTCACTTATTTACTTACCTTAATAGGGCAAATATTTAATATTAGTTTTCTTTACAAAGTGATATTCTTTGTAAGTACAGTAGTGTGAGATGGAGATGATTTTCTTCTTTTTTTATATCACGAATTTTTAAGAAAATTGTTCTTTTTCCTTCGAGTTATATACATTTTTCGATTATTTAACACAAAGAATGTTCTATCTACTATAGTTTAGTTAATGGAAGAGTTAAACAAGATCGCCTTCTCTCGTAACAAAAACAAATATTTAATTAAGAATTGAAAGAAAAGAACAATTGTTGTAAGATTTCTTTTAAGGAAAACTTCGGTTTAATTGATAAATTGTTTCGATCACTAAACTTGTTTGGCGAGAAATTTGCTCCTTTTTTTTTAAATCCGTCATTAAGATAAAGGATGCTAATTTTGTTTTCAATTGTTTTTTTGTAGTCAACAATGATACAAAAATCTTCTAGAGGGCAAATTAACGTGTTAAAATCCTAATCTTTATCTTCCCTCAGACATTTTCTATCAGATTACTGCATTGAATTTAAGTAACTTATGCATAAAATTTCATGTTTGTATACCATTAAAAAAATAAGAAAAAAAGATGGTTTAACTACGTATATTATCTACCAACGTTTCAATTTTTTGTATTAAAATCAAAAACAAAACTAGATTTTTTACTTAACTATTTAATTAAGCATCGTCCAGAAGCTGTAGAGTTTCTAGTTGATGAAATTTTTAAATATTAACAAAACTATATTTACAGAAGATATTATTTTTATTTTATTTTCAAGAAATTATATAGAAAAATTAATTTAAGAAACGTTTCTGTTATTTATTCTGTGTTTTCTACTTAAGAAAGAATCTCAAATATGTTCAATATAGTCTTAAAATTAAGTATTTTCGCATGAGATATGGAATAAGAATTTTTATTCTGTTTTTATTATACGTAGACAGTAGGGTTTTAAGAGCTAGAGACAAATTACAGCTTAAAATCGTATATTTTACATCAACTACCCCCCATAGAGATGACAATTTGGGAAGGAAACTAGTAAATTATTCAGCAAAACCTTATTAGAAACGATAAAAATTCTTAGAGAGGAAAGAGAATTTTAACGTTTGATTTCACTTTATTTTAATCATACAAATTGGCTAGAAAAATTTCTGAGGAGTCAATAACCCAAGAAGTCAGTTCGATAGAAGGAAATTAAAGTGATGAGATGGAGAAAGAGAAAGAGAAGAGAGAGAGAGAGAGAGATCCATCTAATTAAAAGATCGAATTCTTCAAACGGAGTTAAGATTATCGTCCTTCTTAAACAAGTCGGATTTCGTGCCAAAGAGGGAATCAACATCACCACAAGGTACCATTAAGATAGCGTAATTAGTGATTCTATTATATCGAATTTTCTGAAAATGTGATTTAAGTTAGAGGCCGAGCAATAAACGAGAAAATATGACGTGTTAGAAAAGGGGAGAACATCTGAAAACACTTCTGCAAGATAGAGAAAGGAAGCGGATCAATAGCGGCAAATGGAATGTTGGGGAGTCATATTTCTGTAGTAATGACCACTCCACGACAGTCAAGCCAAATCGATAATGTTATATCAATTAGTGTTTCAAACGCCATTGGATCTCGTATATTTAATTTGCAAAATTTCACTCCAACTTAATGTAAATAATAATTTGTTTGACTGCGAGCTTTGTCCCGTTTCTAATGGTCGGTTGGCGTTTATAAAAGAAGGAAAAGGAGAGGAAAAAATCTCCAAGAAATTAAATTATTAAATTATAAATCACTTTTATACAAGTGTCTATTAGTTAATTGCTAAATTTGCTTGGAGATATCATTTTTTTCCGCTTTATTTGTAAACACTTTAGTTAATTATCATCCACTCGGATGAATTTTAAGGGTATTTTCAATTTTATTTCTTCATTTATCTCTCTCTCTCTCCAAGCTATCTAATGTGACTAATGCCGGCTACTTTGTAGTTAAAACTTATCTAACACTATTTTCCTTTAGAGAATTAAATTTTTCTACATAAATTCCTCAAATTTTAAAGTATTTCATCACCAGAAATTTCAAAGTTTCGAATATTTTATATTAGTTTATACCTTAACAATAATTGAAAAAAATTTACATATATATAAAAAAAATTGTATTTAGTTTTCAGAAATAAATATTTGAAATCATTCGGTAGTGAGAAATAATCCCAAAAATTTTACAGCAGCCTTAAAGTATTAAAACGGTGAAGTGAGAAATCCGAGACTTTAATCCTCTCGATACATCTTTCATCCTAGATTTAATTTCTATCAGGTGTGCTACTTAAAAGATAAATTTTCTCATAAGATAAGTTGAAATTAGCAGAAACTTTCTACACGACCGTTTTTACTACATTTTTAAGTTTCCTAACGCCGTTATAAAGGGGTAAAAGAGACTTAAAATAACGAAGGAAACCATGTTTATTTTTGGCAATAGTTGCAAGGAAAAAGGGTCTTAATGCTTTCTTTACTTTAGCAATACTTCTAATTAACTGTTTGGCTAGAAGACCGAGAGGAGGGAACGTTAACAGAGAATTTTTTAACTGATTTTTCCCCACCCTTACTATTGTTAGTTTTCTTTTCTGTTATTTCTTTCTGTTGTTGCTTTAAAAAAAAAGAAAAAAAAACTAAGTGGAAAATGAAAGGGCAATCTAATTACTCGCAATCTTTCGTACGGTAATTGCCACTTCCTTTCGCATTAACTTTTAGTTTGTGTCTGACTTTCTCTTGAAAGATATCTACTTAATTAAACGATAGCAATAGCATATTTACGTCGACATCTGGTTGAAAATTCCGTCCCTTCCCACATCAATATCCAATTTTGATTTGTTCTTCTTTAAATTCAATCTGATTAACTTGATTAATTTTATCGGAAGGAAATTATTTTGTCATTGGTAACTTTTTAATGTTTTATAATTGAAAACTGCAACGAGTTTTTTTTTATTTAAAGTTACACTTTTTTTTCTACTATTCCCATTTTTTTCCATTGCTTTCTACTAAATTTTATTCCAATTTCTGATTATTTTTTTTCCTAGCGATTATCCGCATCATTTAATAAATTTATTAACATCAAAATCTTCCTTTTAAACTTAGAATTAAATCCTTACAAAATTTTCATTACATACTTTGAATTATTAAGCATTTCTTTTTTCTTTTTTTTTTTTGTTCTGTTACAATAATAAAATAAACTACTACAGTATTAATAAATAAATATACAAAATTAAATTATGTAAGGATAGAATAGAGTCGTTTCCTGATAGAATTTATAACTTATCTAAGCAGGAAATTAGATTTATTACCTACCTTTATATAACGTTAAGAGATTATATAAATTCGTAGCTGATAAAATTGCATTTTTTTTAATAATTTCTTTGCTTATTTCTTTTAAAAAAATCGTAAACAAGCTAAAATTACTCGATACAAAAGTGATTCAAATATTCAAGTGCCGCACACTCCAAGCTACTTAACATGTATATATTCAGTCGACGATGAGTATGCTGTAGTTTTTAAAATCGAAGAACGTGATAATGATCTCAAAAAGATGTTTTCTTTTCCTTAAGAAGGTCTTCGATCAACACACTTTGGTTTTTAAACAAGATTTTCAGGATCATCCACGAGGATGTCTCGTAGCTTAGATGATCCTTTAATTTTTTTTTTTTTTCTCCCTTTCAGATAAAGTATCAAAACTTTCTACTTTATTGTCGCAATTTTTTATTACTTTGTATAATGTAAATTATTTTTTATCACTTAAAAATATTCTTTAGAGAGTATAAAAGTGTTTTCTAAACTTATAACTTATCTGGAATTTAATCGTAGTTTCCAGTTTAAATAATTGCTTTGGCGGCTTGTAAATGTTCCTGATTAGATATACATTGACTAATTCGTACAATCAGATATTACTTAAAGGTTGTTGAACAGAATTTCATAATAGAAAATAGCATTATAAACTTAAATTGCTATTTTTATAAAGGAGCAAACACTCGCATTATATTTAAAGATACCATTCACAAACGTCCATAAACTAACTAATAAATGTTATATATGGCAAGCTTTGTCTTCCTATTAACGACGTTATTAAAATGTTATTCGGATCAATTTGGTCCTAGTTGTATCTACTAACAACGAAAACTTCCGGTAGATACACTTTAACTTTTATGGCTAACCTCCGAATGCATTGTTTCTAAATAATCTTCTTGCAACATCGCCTTTTTTTTTTGTATGAGAAAATTAACTTTTTTTTTAAGGCTTCAAATTGTATAATT